GGGTGGTGGAAAAAGTGAAATAGATAGGAATTAGGAGACCTGGTACTAGTCTCAGATCTGCTACTAATTAGTGGTTTTTAATTGACAAGCTCTTTACCTCACTAGGATTCACTCTCCATATTTGTACTCTATTGTAAGGTATGTGTGCTTTGAGGGGGGTGAATGATAAAGCATGGTAATACATGAATTATAAATATCCCCTCTAACACTTAATGATTTTATTACTGTGATACCTTGAGTGGGTGGTGTGATGCTGAAAATACGATATTCTGAAGCCCTAATTTTCTGTCCTTTGCAGGGCAGAAAAGCAAGTCAGTTTTGATTCTTCTGGGCAGTCTCAAGGGCTTAGTTGAAAATATTTATTATTGTTATTATTTAATTATATTTATTATTTGTGTTTATGGAACAAAACTTTGGAGAACATGCATTGAAAATTGCATGTCCTTTAGTGTAGAGTGCAAATTCATTTTACGTGGCCAGGGAAAAAGGAATCAGTTTGAGCACTGGAATTTAGTAATTTAAAGTGACCATTTTTGTTACTTATTTCCACACCATCCCCTACATTTACTGATTCAGTTGGTGACTGTGCTTTGTGAATTATCTAGGCCCTTTACTGCATCATCCTCTCTCACCTATGGCTGTATCACTGCTTGTTAAGACTTTACCTGGGAGGTTATAAATATACAAGAACAGAAAAATGGAACCATAATCTAGATAATTTTAGCGCTTGTAAGCCACCGTGGGCAACAGGTTCATTAGTAGGTGTTTGTAGCTGACGTCTGTAAATGAAATGTTGATTCAACTGAGGCTATGCAGCTGTTAGCTGCTCCTGACTTCTGTTAAAGTAGATGACTTAAAGTTCACTGGCCTTTCTTTACACCACCCTGAGTATAGCTGGCTTTCATTTTCTCTCCCAAATATCAGGAATCTTCAGGTTCTTAGTAATCACAGCTGAGGTTTAAATGCTAAGCTTATAATGTGTTTTAAGGATTTTTCCCCCATACTTTTAAAATTCAAAATCAAAGCCATTTCTTAAAACTTTTGAGGATCATAAAAATAGATTGCCTGTAGACTATAGACTAGAATTCAAGGTAAAGTTTTCAGATAAACCAAGATAACCTACCTCTACCACTGTGTTTATCTTTCTACCAAGTTATGATATCATATGTTCATGCTTAAGCTAGAGGTTTCTAACTGTAATAATATTGATGGTGATGATTAATACTTAATACTGCTTTATGTTTCCAGAGGGCTTTCACGTATTCTTTTTGTAAAAACTAATCTTGACAACAATGCCAGTGAATTTAGGGAGGGCTTATTAACCCCAAATACATGATAAGGACTTGAAGCCTAACCAGCATTAGCAGGAAGGGAGGAAACCAGCGCTGAAGCACACTGGCCATTACAGCAGGTTTTTCAGGTGTATCTGGATAGCCCTTATTTATTGAAACTATAAATGCTATCTCACAAGAAGAAGAACAAAAACAAAAAAACAAAAAACCTCAGACTAGGTATTCCATAAGACTAGTTTCTTTGCAAATAGATAAATCTAATTACAGGGGAGAAAAAAATCTGGTTTATAGTTGGATTTTGAAACATGATCCACATATTTAGTCTAACTTGGTCTCTTTTCTCAAGTTCAATCAAAGTAGTCGCTTTATAACTTCAGCAGAGTCCCCCAGGATCTTAGATAAGGCTCATTCATTTGATTCCTGTGTTCCATTCAGCATCTGACTGCATTTTCAGTTCGTGAGAGACCAACCCATGGCAGTGAGATTCCAGATTTGGCTATAATAATTTCAGTGCAAGTTTGACTCCCCTAATTGGCATGTGAATTCATGACTCTGGAGCTCTCTAGTGGCCTCCTGGGATACAAGACAAGCTCAGTGCTATTTTCCCAAAAAACTTACTCTACATTTTGGGAGCAGAGTTTGGAAAACAAGACAGCCTCTTATTGCCACATTCCTAATGTTGCTCCAGGAGTGAGCTCCCATTATCACCCTCAGATGATACACTCCAAGTGTGTTATGATTATTGTGGAGTGTAAAAACCAGCCCTGTGGACTTGTTTTGTGGTGTTTGGGTAGGTTTGTGTGTTCAATTACAAGCCTAAAGAGAAATGACTAATTTGTTTTCAGAGGACAAAAAGCCTTCCTTTTCTCACATTTCCGTTAGTTTGGCAGGGAGGGAAAAAAACGGAACTGCCTTGCTATCCTGGTATATAGCTTTAGGCTGTTTTCCTCTTAGCTTTTTCTGTCTCCTGTTCCTCACCACTGTTGACCTGAAACTAACAGCCTGCTAGTTATTTCTCCAGCAAAGATGGGTTTATTCAGGATCAGCAGAGAATTTAAATTTGGGGTCTGTAATCATGGTGAGCCACATGCAAGTCCCCACACATCCAGAGAAGGAGACACTTTTAGGGAAAAAGGAAATTGTGAGGGCTGTAGTAAACCAGGTCCACGGCTGTTCATTGGCTGAGTCCTTGCCAGGAAAAGAGAGAGGAGTCTTTTTGCTTCCTGTTGAGCTCCGCTGTCATCACAGGGCGTGAGAGCTCCCCCTTCGGTCTCTTGACTCTGTTTAATTGAGGTTTCTGTTTATTAATTTTTCATACCACTAAGCTTTTGTTTGCTTTGCTGATGTTGCTGGACCCAGATCTACTGTTTTGTCCTAGACAACTGTAGTTAACCCTTCAACAAAGCAGGATTAAGGGTACGCCCTCTCCCTCCAGCTCCTCAGTTAAAAATTCACGTGTAACTTCACAGCTGGCCCTCCAGGCCCTCCACATCAGCAGTTCTGCATCCACGGGTTCAACCAACCGTGGATTGTGTCGTACTATAGTAACGCATTTATTGAAAAAGATCCATTCATAAGTAGACCCGCTCAGTTCAAACTTGTGTTGTTCGAGAGTCAACTGTAGTGACTTAACCCTAACTGCCTTTCCCAGTTCTTCTGTCCTAGAAGGGGCTTCTCCCTGAGCACTGACCCTGAAGACTGTCATTGGTGTAGGCCATCAGACAAGACAGGATGTTCTGGGGGTCACCCCTGGGTCAGAGCATTCTGGCCTCTCTCCTAAACTCTAGCAAGATCACATTACGTACCTTTTTCAAATGTGGATCATCTGCAGGCCCCCTGATTACTTCTTGATCTGACTGTAGGTTTAGAGAAGATGACATCTGGAGACGTGACATTGCCTCCTTTTCAGTGATTTATGAGAACTTCCAGTGTATTCTCCTTTTTTGCCTCTTTTACTTGTCTGCAACCTGACTCACTCCTTTACTGTCTCCCAGCACGCTAACCTCTGGGACTTGATGATCACTGGTAATCCATTGGCCAGTCTGCCTTTGACCCCCTGGTTCCTTGTCTGCTGGTTTCTAAGCTTCCTGTAGTCCCGGTCTGCCTTCAGGCCTGAACTACACCTCCCATTCACAGTCCCTTTGCAGCCAGCCTTTGGCTTTTGCCTGAAATACACAGGAAATTC